TATATTTCAAACTAAATCTAAGTATCCCTATAAGTGTGGACTTTCTCCCCTCTAAACCTTGGTCCAGTGCGCCAAAGTAGAGACCTAGTATGGTCTTTTAAAAACTGGTGAAATATAATCAAACTGTTCTCAAGAATGTAACAAGGATTTATCAAATGGATATGCACGCATCCATGTGCAGTGCATTCATTAATTGCTCTTACTTTCCCAAGTAAGGTTACGATTTTGCCTTGGGAATGTATATTTTCTCTGCATGAATGTGTCAAATATAAGACTCCCCAAATAGACAAGAACTCGCATTTTCTCATAATTTACCCTTGTTTCGGATTATAATCATACATAATGTGATTACAAAATATTTACCCCTCTAGAGGAGAATCTTTCAAAACAAGGAAATAAAATATTTAAAAAAAACATAAAAAAAAAATTCTGTGGCAGTGAAAAGTTAGTTAATTCTTAGGACATGCCTCACCACAATTAGAATACGTCCCATATAGTTGCAATGATTTTGGAGAACATAAATGGAGTTATATTGAAAAAAACCCATCATATTAATCAAAAGAGATCTTTTTAAGCTTGAATGTGCTTTCAATCAACAAAAATAATTCATCCAAAACATAAAACCAAAACATTTTCTCCACTTTTTTTCTCTCCTTCAAATTTATCCGCCATAATGACATTCGGAACTGTCTGAATCGTTCAAAGTGTAAGTATGGTACATTCCCGATACACAGAACGAATTCTTAGAACAAAATAATTCCGTTCCATCTTGGGGAAGGGTAACAGAGTTAGGTAAAATGCAAGGTTACGCCCAGGCTCCCTTTGTCTTGCATATGACATTTTTGGAGATTAGGTCTTGCAACAATTTGTTGGAATTCCTTTGGGTACTAATTGCGCTCCCTTATTAGACAACCTATTTTTGTATTCATATGAAGCAGACTTTATTCAAATAGTTCTACATGAGAATAAAGAAAACACCTGCTGTGGACTTCAACTCGACATTTAGATACATCAACGACGTATTATCAATTAACAATAGTTACTTCCACTCATATGTCGACCCGATACATCCTAGTGAGCTTGAAATAAAAGATACCACAGAGTCTGACACATTTGTTTTATATTTGGATATTTTACTTGAAAAAGACATTAATGGTAACCTAACAACAAAGCTTTATGATAAACCTGATGACATCAATTTTTCAATCGTCAACTTCCCTTACTTATGTAGCAATGTATCTGTATCACCTGCATATGTGGTTTTTGTTTCTCAATTGATTCGATACGTTAGAACATGCTCTACGTATGAACAATTTCTAAAACGAGGCAAACTATTGACAAACAAGTTGATGAAACAAAGATATCAACAGTCTCGTTTTAAGTCATCATTTCGTAAGTTTTATGGTCAATACAATGACCTTGTCAGCAAATACAACCTATCATTAAGACAAATGCTGACTGACATTTTTCATACTAATTGTTAGACCATTATTTACACACTGAAATGTCTACGGATTTTTCGTTTTTTTTCCCCAATCATGACAAGGAGCACACAGCGGATGTGACTGGTCGGCAGGGGATGCGCACTCCTCCATGCCACCTGATCCCACCTCTGATGTTTTTGGAGGTCCATGTTTGCTCGGCTCCCAATTTGTATTGTTTTAATGGACTTTGAGCTTGAATACTGTTCTTCATCTCCATATTTCATGACATATTTCTTGGCAAATATCAGATGAATGACATAGATTTATACAATTAAGGGCCTGTGCACACGGTAAGGCTTGCCTTATAAATCTTAAAACTAAAGTTTTTGCAAGCCATACGGCTATCGTGTACACACAATAAGGTACACCTTACAAGATAGTAACTAGCATTACATATATGTACCATAAATTCCACGTGTTTGAATACCAAAATAATGTGTTCAGTTCTCAAAATAGAAAAGGAAATAACTAGTACAGATTCTCTCCGCTTCCTCCCACTAACTAACGAGTTTCTTTATTGCCTCGTTTGTATAGACGACCATTACCTCTTTCGAATACTCCAATCTACCCACGTGTACGATTAGAAATAGGTTGACGCTGGACGGCTAATTTTCGTTAGCTAACAAGAAAAGGTCAGCTAAGTTTTGTATTTAGATATAGTGCTCTATTCGCAGGTCAAGACTAAAGCGTGTATTAAGGGTGTACAGACTTAAAAGGCAAGCCTTATCGTGTGTACCGGCCCTAACATTAAGAACCAGATTTCTCAGAAAGAAATAGAGCTATTCTCTTAAGAATCAATGGCATTTCATGGTCCCCCGAGAGTGAAATTTCATGAACCTTACTTCTACGCATTGCACTAAATAGCAATGGACTTGGGTATGGGTAACGCTTTTTGACGATTGTGTGATATGAATTAATTATGCTTTTAAAAGCGCAGGGTTTTAAACTCATTGTACACGAAAAATGGGGAACTATTTGTTCAGAGCCGATAGGGAACCACGGTCTTACATCTAAGAGAAAAAAAATATTTCTCATGGCCATGATCAATTATCAGTTGCACAATGTCCTAGCGTCACTCCAAATATACAAGCAGGGCCTCCCGAGAACTGAGTATTTAGTTCTACTGAAGCAAATAGCATTCTTTTCATTCTCAAGTCAAAAGTGTCCCATAACCGCGATTTACGGAACAAACAATATTTACCACTTGTGCAGTCTAAAGCAACTCCTTCCACGTTTCAGCGAACCCATTCGACCTGACGTGTTAACCGAATTTCACACACAGAGGAGAGAGAGACAATAAAGCTGTTATATTCATTAACACAGTTTCTTATTCAGCTAAATGAACCAGATCCTGAAATGTAAAACTGATGCAAAATTGATGTCTTCAATAGTAGTGTTTTTTATCAATGTCAAATACTATTTGAGCTTTCAGTTGACAAATACACAGACCATATAAGAATATTTAGTGTCCGTAGAGAAGTGCAGACCAAGAAATCACTGTATGGTACACCTTAACCATACTCGCATAGAGATCAACGAATGTCTTGAAAGTGTAATACTAGATATAGACCATACACCTGTTAAGGTCGCCAGGTCATTTTTAATAAACACGTTATCTTTCTGCATGTGCTGAGATGTGGATCACATATATATAGGGCACACTTGAGAACGGGATATATCAAAACACAATGTAGATAGCTGGCGTCTATGGTTCATATTAAACACAATAAAATACCAAGACATAAAATTCTGCCAGGAATTGTGATTTATCATAAATAGTTTAGTGCTTAAAATGTACCTAGATAGCAATTGCTCTTCATCTCTAAATCAACCAAACTCATAACTATTACTTCGAAAAATATTCCAAAGACTACACCACAAGGAAATCAAGTTGTCAGCATTTTGTCAAAAAATATGACGAACAAAAAGATACGTTAATAAATAGCGTATTTTCCCTCTGTTTACATATAACTTTGGACTTAAGGTCAGACAAGTTCCTCAAATATGTTTTGTATCTCCTGGTATTATATCAAAAAATTATTCATACTGTCATTCTCTTGTGATTTCTAAATTGTTTTCAATATGTTTTAAAAAATAAGTGCACCAAAAATTGTGACATTGGTAATTCAAAAGATTACCCATAGAGATTATGAAAGAAAATATCACCCTCTGGTATCTTGCCCAAATGCTAGGTAAGCTACCTCAATTTTTTGCGAGAAAACTTGTTCAAGTACCAATACTTCAGTGAAAAATTATATATTTTGGAGGAACGTGTCGTCTGACCTTAATGATAATAGCTTTCCAAAAGAAATATACATTAGATTCATGACGCAAACGACTTCAGCATAACTTGACAGAAATCACGTTTCAACCTGAGGATGTTAAACAACTACCGTATATACTCGCCTATAAGTCGGTCCGCCTGTAAGTCGGTTTTATTTTTGAAACTTATATTAGAGGTATTTACCTTCTAAAATACCAATCTTTTTATAACTCGCCTATAAGTCGGACATAGAGTTTTGGACCATAGTTTAACTCCCAAAAATCCGACTTATAGGCGAGTATATACGGTAACAAACAAACAAAAAAACCCAACACTGTCAACCTGAAATTTTAAATATAGAAATGAGTTGTCATGTTGTAAATTTTGAATTTACCGGGTGGCAGTAAATACAAAATTTACTGTCATGTTGTAAATTTTGTATTTACTGCCACCCGGTAAATTTAAAATTTACAACATGACAGAGTTATGAATCCAAGTAAGAGTTATCTCTCTTATCAGAGGGTCAATGAACCTTAACTCCAGTTTGCATGTGTACTTAGATTTATTCTCTGACCTCAGTTAACAATTGCACATTAAACTTTGTAATAGACGTATTGAAACTCCCTCTCTCTCTACATTACCTATATATTACTAAGATTTTGTTTCTGGTTTCATTGATATAAATTTAAGTTTTATGGTCTACTTACTGTAAACCAACTATTATTCGTGTCAACTTTTATTCGCGATTCGTCAGTTTGAAAACAATCCGCAACGATTAATTTTCGCGACTGAAGAAACATTCTCTACAAATACAAAACAAAATAAATGGTTCGCGGCGATTCATATTCGCGAATTAAAATAGGTCGCGAAAATCGCGGATATTTCTCGCACGCGAATAAAAGTTGGTTTACAGTATTACCAGAGAAACAAATGCAATTGGCATAATTACATACGTAAATTATTCCGGATTTTGTTCGTGCGCCGACAGACCATATCGGCCTTCCTATAAATTGTCATAATATTATTACCATGATATTTATTAAAAAATTTCTTATTTTAAGGAACATTGAATAACTTATGGGTCTGCAAAATTTGATCAGCATTGGTTGAATGTTTACAAAGTTATAAACATTGTCTACAATTTTTTGGGACAACTCTGTATATATATATATATATATATAATCATACATATATTGGTCCTTGAAAACATAAAGGCATGAGATATCAATTGAAAAAGAAAAAAAAAAGAACTCTTTCCTTTGTTGTCACCCATACTTTTTTTTATTCAACATCAGACAAGTTGCTTTTTTGAGCATCACAATATTATCACCTTATAAACAGTTTTTATAGTGCCAATACACAAAAAGATGAAAGTTTTCATGCTATCCATGACAATAAAATAGAGAATTAGAAACAATAGTGTAATTCCTCCATGTAAAAACCTGTATAATATTACATTTACAAAATGTACAATTTGAGCTACTTTCAATACAAGTACATGGTCATGGATAAAATTTCTTTTGTATAATTTTTGGCAATGAAAATATTTTATCTAAAAAAGTCCATATTAACAATACAAAACATGTCTACAAATAACATTTACTACAGAAACACCTAAAAATATTAGCACTTTCATATTGTAGAAATTTGAATTAACCCAATTTTATCTTTTTTTCTTTCTTTAAAAATCATAATTCTTTTTGGTTAAAGCCAACAACATTACACAACATACTATAAAATTATGACATCCATAACATTAGTTTTTGACTCAAGGTCTCTCTGTAACATAGACCAATATTTTTCTTCTCCAAATGTTATCTCCAAGATATACCTGATCCACCGGAATCATTTCTAGATCACAGTGGAATAAATGCCTTGTATACACAGTGTCACAACAGTGAACATGGACATTATGTGCATGCAGCATATTTTTAAAAACATAATATAATCTGATAAACTTTCTGAGATGCTAAGGTTTTAACTTTATTTTCCTTATTTACTACTAGCTACAGTAAAATAAAGTCCAAATCAATACTTATTGAACCCCTATCATTACATCCCCTCAAATACAGTTCAGATTTATTATCAGATTCTGAATCTTCATTTCAGGATGGCTTGATTTGAAATTGAATTTTAAGAAAATCTGATATTAAAGTAAAAAATAAATTTTGGAGCAATTTGATATTTATCATTAAAGAACTCCATGTTTTTGTCATAAGTATAGGAACAATTGAGCACAGCTATAAAAACTCTGTACTATTAATATTAATATCACTGTTTTTACACAGTTAAACTCTCAAGAATCTGTACAATGCAAGATGTTATATTCACCCTATTAAGCAAACAGGGTACATTCATATATCAAACACAATAAAGAAAAGACAGTTGTGTTCCCTGTCATAAATCTAACAAATTCTTCAACACATACAGAACAAATACCTCACTCTACCACTTTAAGGTGGCCCATTTTACTAGGACATATTTGAACAAACACACAAAATTGCATTCAAGCACCATTCTCAAGCATGCCATAAACCATGTTTTAACCGGTACACATATAATAAGGCAGTAGATATGGTCCCCACAACCTTGATTTTTTGCACCTTTGACCAAGCCGGGTCGTAAAGGCAGATCAATATTCACTTACGTCAAAACAGGACAAAAATCAATAGATATGTTCTCCATTAATATAACACTATTGGGACCCAGTTCTCTGGCTGTGTCTTGAATGGTAATGTACGTCACCTAATAATTCTTACTGCCATTCAAGGTTGCGAGTTTTCAATGGACGAGATGAACCTTATTTTTACACACATGCAAACAGACTTATTTCACATGGCGTGAAATGACCATAGCAACATACATCATGTAAGGACAGTACTCCCAATTGTAAAATACAACATATACAGGTTTACTGATTTTTTAAAAAATGTTATTAACAATAAGATATGCTATTTTATTCAATAAATTTTGGGGATATGTTTTTGTTTATGTGAAAAAAAACAACTGATTTATACATATACAAAGCAATGCAAATTGAAGAACATCTCTTGTTTTTTCAAAAAATAAGCAATTACACATGATAGCAATTAAACACAAAGCTGAACATGAGAACAGAAAGCAGGATACTGCAGTGAATGATGGGAAATGTTGCAGTGGCTGATGGGTAATACATTGTGAGTATACTCTAGAGGTAGGTGCTGCCGAGCCTGAAGATTCCCTGAACATTTTATTGTCCTCCCTGAGGCTCAACAGTCAAAATCATGCCACTGCTGTGTTTGTACACAAACTTAGGCAAGAACTATAACACGCAACAGTCAAAATCCTGCCACTGATGTGTCTGTACACAAACTTAGGCAAGAAACTACAACACAAAAAAGCTTCTGACAATGAATTAACTATTCTCTACTCATAGCAAGCCTACAAATTATGGAAATTCTAGTTTCTTTTAAGCCCTCACTGGAAATTTTTTAAAACTGTAGCCATTTTTTTAAAAAGTGAATTTTGCTTATACATGTATTGTTTTAATTTGTATGCTTCTCCTCTGCTAAAAAGATCTATACTTTCACTAAACCACACGACTTTGTTATATACAAGAAAGCACACTAAATTTCCTATATTACAGACTTGCAATTCATTCATACATGAAGTCCTGGTCCTAATTTTGGTAGGACTTCTTCTGCCCTTACCAACCTACTCCCAACCCCAAGACAATAATAGCTTAGCTGCCTGAGCCTGGTGCTTCAGAACAAGACAACATATAGAGCACAATGATGCCATATTGTACAAGGTCGTTGATGTCAAAAAACATACTACTGTTTGTATATTCCAGTTAAACCCCATGATTCTTTGTGCCATTTCATGTCACTTTTGTAAACTGAAGATTTCCACAAGCAGTGGCTCGAGTCTTGTAATATCAAGATGGGAGGCAAGTTGAGCACTTGACTCTCCAAGGCTTCGCACGTCCAGTAGCTTCATTAGAAGTTTGGGATACAGCTGTCGAGCTTCGCTGACAGGGTAAATGGATTCCAGGTAGGCTTGAAGCCAGGTAGAAAATTTTTCCTGTCCCTTGGCAACTAGCTCCTTGTTTTTGAGACATGGTCTGTCTGAAGAAAATAATTCGATCACGAATAGTAGGGTCAATATGGTTTTGTTGGCTTTTGTAAGTTGATTTAGACTCATAACAAATTTCACATGGTCTGAATACATGTGGGTGTCCATCGTTTTGATCATTTCTGGGCTAAGTTGTGTTTCACATATTTTATTATTTTGTGACGTGCCTCCTCGCACTTTCCATCCCATGGCCTGTGAATCAAATCCCATCACTGAACGCAAGACCATAATTTCCATGATGCCTCCCTGAAAGAGATGGAAAAAATATATTAAGATTTTTTTTTCATTTGTGCAATGTATTTTGTTTCATGTGTCATTTAATCATTCATTACTTAACAAGAGCCACTGGCTTTACTAGTTGTATCGGATTATTAAGTATTTTCATTAAGGTAATAAATTGCTGTTTCATGTTGATTAACAGTGCTAGTTGTTGTTTTCCTGATATGCAGTACATTAAATTCATTTTAGGATTCAACAAAATAACCAGAACTAGTCCTGAGGTGATTTCATTATTCAAAGATAAGGAATGAAACAAGAAAAATGTTTCTGGCATAACAATCATTTTTATGATAGCGGATCGATGGCCCCATATACCTGATTGTGTTTTAGATAATTTAGTAGGCTATCCAAAGAATGACTTGCATGTTGATTATAAAATCCCTTGCTGGGGTTTAAACATAAACCATAGTGCTCATCTATTTATTACATGGCATAATGACCTAAATTAGAAATGTGTGGATAATCTTAAATGGGGGGTAGATTAAAAAAGAAATTTAAAAATTATAAAAACTTTTAAAACAATAATCCTCTTACAGATAGAAATCTTTGAAAAACCCTGGCTAATTTTTTATTTCAAAGCAGAGAGGTGCTCTTTTACCAGCTTGATTTGCTGAATGATTGCTGTGAGTTGCCAACTTACAAAAGACAATGCATCAAAGTTATACACTGGAAAAAAAAACCCTTAAGAAATTCCTTCGTCATGCAGTTGTATCTCGTTTAGTATGTTCTGGTAATTTTTTTCATGGTTGAGTGACTGAGTCCTTTAAACTCAAATACATGTACCAGAAAGAAAAGCACTAAATGTACCTTCAAAATTGAGTTCTTCAGAACAATTCTAGTTTTGAAACTTTTTTATCAGTTGAATAAATTTTTTTCCCATGAGAAAAAATTAAATGTAACCAAAGCTGTTACAGCTGAAAAATGACCACACACTTTAGTTAATGAAATCCTCATCAAATACATTAGTTTTTTGGGTCAAAAATACCATATTCTTCCCTATAGTACCTAGAATCATTCATGGATATACACTTAATATCACAAGTGCTCTAACTGGCAATGGCTATTCTAATTAGACAAAAAGCATTAAGTGAATGTTAAAAATTGGAACTATAAGTCAAGAACTTAAAAATACATAACAGCAATTAAAAATATTGATATAGGAAAGTACACTTGACATTAATGTTATGTATGAATTGATGAAGAAGACCTTGGGTACATAAGTGGGCGGCTTAGTAGCGATAGATAAAGGAGTTAGTATACATCTACTATTGCAATCTTTACGTTATCTTGTGCGTGAATTAAGTCTTTCCATTTTTGTTTCCCCATAAATAGAGGTTGAAAAAATAATCATCATCATCTTAGACAAGATTCATTAAAGATTCACATTCAAGCTGGATTTTTTCTTTCATGCCACACACGTTTTATCATCAATAATTCACACCAATGGCACCAATCTGCTCTTTCATCTGGTATCCCAAAGCCCACCAATTATTTATTATGGCAGATTAGGTTCAATTTAAAACAGAATTTGAAAACTTTTTTTTGGTTAACAACATAATTGTCTTGCTAGAAATAGATGTGAAACGCTGTATAAAATGAAATTTAAATTACAATGCATTAGAGCAAGGAGGTAGGAGAATTGTGAGGAAAATAACATGAGTTCATCCAGTTCTGTATATGACTTCTTCATAGTTGACCTACATTGCTTCTCTCTGTAAATGTCTAGACAGGTAGCTACTCTTGATATTAATTTTAAAGTTGCTGTACCTTGATTTTAATAATTATTAAATGCATTGTTTCAGATATACATTTGTACAAAGCTAATGGATTAATTCTCCATTTTAATGTGATTCATTTCAATTAACATAGAGATATGAGGTGAAGTTTCTAGAAAATTCTTTAAATCATTTACTTTGAAATTCATGCAATTGAAAACTAGGAGATGCAGGGTATGAAAGTTAACAGTTGCTGAAAACACCAGTCAAACAGCATAAAAAAAATCACCAAATTTTCACTGAGGGGGAAAAAGGGACAAGATAGTTGTGAGGAAACAGATAGGAAGTTACATAATGTTTCTGGCAATTTCCTTAACTGCTATGTTCCAAATTCCAGCAGAGCAAGATAAAATATCTGAAACTTGAGTTTCTTGCTTATCTTTTGAAAGGGAAAATGTAATCCAGATATTGAGTAATTCATCAATCAAAATCTAGGAAGAAGAAGTAAAAGTGCACTGTTAAGTAATGAATATAAACACATATATCAACTACAAGTATATAAAACACTGCCTAATTTACTTGTACATGTCTAACAACCTTGAATTTTTTTTGGCTTTCTAGCTGATAATGTAAAATTTGATTTTGTCTCTCACGTATTTACTGTATTTCACTAAAGCATGTCGTGTAAGAATTTTATGTTATAGATATACAATTAGTCAACTTTTATTTGTGCATATTATTTTTTGCAATCTCACAATTCAAACATATATGCAGAAATTTTCATTTGAGATTCTTTGTTTCAAGTCATCTTTGCTTATTGGAATAAAAATACTTGCTCATGGCCTTCAACTATCATGAAATTCCCTTCCTCGATCATGATAGTATTTTGTACTACAAAAAATGTATCATGAAAGGTGGCTTATAGTTTAAGATGCTTACTACATGGTTAAGCAATGCTGTTGAATCAATTCTTTTTAAATCATTAAACCAGATGTCTCTGATGGGACTGTAGCTCTAATGGTTTGAATGTTCACATTTTTGAAGATGTTTTACACTGATAAATACAACATATTATCTTGATGTTGGAGCTGAACATAGACTTACATCGAAATGATTCAAGGAACACCTTGAAAACATGGCAACTGTTTGTTGAAGCCAAATTTAGAAGGAGTAGAAATTTGTAATATGTTAAGAGATAGATTATAAAGACAAATCTCAAAGGACACTTTTCCATGAATATGCTCTTCATTCTTTGACAGTAGAGCTAATATCTTTGGGAGAAACAAAAAAGTGCATTTTGTGCAATCAATAGCTTAAATACATATACATTTATAGAACCTACTTTAAGCAAATGAATCTGGTCTTCCTGCTGTAGCTGTTTGAACTCTGGTACATGTTTTGCAAACTTGATCAATCTACGTATAAATATATCTGTTAAATTGAAAAGGTCATTGGCAGACCGGGGACTTTCTGTCAGTTTCCTAAACTGGGTCTCATTGTATGGCTGGTCAAACACTGCTGCGTATTGCTCCTCCAAATTTTGAATTTCTTTGCGGACGTCCTCGGGCAATGGTCTTGGGTAGTCGTCGTCATCCATTTCTGATTTGAAGGGAGATAACTCTGTGGGAGGGGATTGGTTGTAAGACGACGACTCGTCCGAATGGTAGTTACTGGTGGATACCTCTGGACAAGCTGTCACCTGACATCCTGGCTCTTCTATCTTGCGAAGCTTGGCTCGATCCTGCTTTGTAAGCTTCTGTCTACGCTTTGCCAATTGATCTTCACCTACAAAGCAAAGAGGATATAAAAAATTGTACCTTTCCTTCTTATTCCGTACATACTGTTTTGTATAGCCCTATTGTGAAATTTTGTAAGGGTTAGGGCTTAGAATATGAAAATTTCAATTAAGATAATATTAAAAAAATATTAGAGATGGGAGAAAAAAACCCACTAGTGTTTAGCCAGTGAGGGTACTATCAGATGCATTCTTTAGATATATCTTTAATATAGATGGTTGCATGAACAGCAAAGTACACAGCACATTCTGCTTTCATGTAATATAAACCATTGAATTATACCTTTAATTTGCATTTTATATTTCAGGATTGGGTATATTTCTAACGTCATATTTGTACAAATCAATAGATACCTTTATCTAAATACTGTCATTATTTAGTCAAAAACTTAATACACGTGAAGAAAAATACGCTTGCTATGGCCTTCAACTCGACATTTAGATTTATAGACAATGTATTATCAATTAACAATACAGTAGTTACTTTCATGCATGTCAATTCGATATATCCCAGTGAACTCAAAATAAAAGACACCACAGAGTCTGCCACATCTGTTATATATTTGGAAGTTTTACTGACTGTAGATAATAAGGGCCAACTAACAATTTAACTGTACGTCAAACGAGATGACTTTAGCTTTTCTATCGTCAACTTTCCTTATTTATGGAGTAATATTCCACTTTCAACTGCATATGGTGATAAAGTCTCCCAACTTATTCAATACTCAAGAGCATGCTCAGAGTACGATCAAATTTTAAACCAAGGCAGGCTACTGACAAATAAGCTGATGTTACATGGACTTCAACAACCTTGTTTAAAGTCAGTAGGCCTTTGTTTTTATACTAAATCTGACTACTGGTTATTCCATCTATCTGATCTATTTAGGACTCGGGCAAGTGTGACAGATCAACAGGGGATGCTTACCCCTCCTAGGCACCTGATCCCACCTCTGGAATTTCCATGTTTTATGCCCTCTTCACAGATTTGTATTGTTTATAGGTTTTTTTGAGATGGATCACTGTTTGTCATCTTCACCTATTTCATTGTAAAACAGTGATGACAGGTACAGTCAAAGAACTTATACCAAAGTGAAAATTTACATCCATCCTTCCACAAATCTTAAGCGTTACCTTTTCCACACTTCGCTTATAAAACAGAACATTTGTCCCTTTTTTACTAATTAGAAAATATAAATTCAGTCTGCCCATCCTCTAGTTGTGTTCATATTCTTACCACAACATTCATTAAAAAACGTATACCCTGGTACTTTACAATGTAGATATTAATATTAAGACTATTAAATTACAGACTAGCAGACTTCTATATGCACATTTTTCAAAGACATTAAAATCTGTATCTGGTGCTTAAAATTTAATCACATTTAAGGAGGCTGGGGGGTCAACAAATTAACCACCAGATTTAACTTAATTTTTTAGATATGATATCTTAAGCTGTCAACTATCATTTGGCAAAGAAAAATTTCAAAAATTTTAGTTTTAAAATTTGATCATTTTCTATATTTTCATATGGAGCTCTTCTTCTAATGGAGATCAATATAGTCTAAAAATGGCCACAACCCCCCAACCTCTTTAAAGTTCAAAGTCATCATATGAACTCATTTTACAATGATGAAACCATATCAAGGGTATATTAAATGTGGTACCACATTCTTTGAAGTTAATACCTCATATTATAAAAAGGGTATTTATTACATCTAAATATTTTGAATGTATATATGATAACTTTTAAATGATAACAGAGAGATTTGGTAAAATGCCAATATCTTCTGGTTAGGTGTCTCCTCTTCCTGAAACATGAAGCCATTCAACTGCCAATTTGTTTGCATCTCATGCATAGCTTATATATATGTTTGCATAGGAAATAGTTCATAAAAAATATTAAACCAGACTTGGATGTATGAAAACAGATTCCTTTACAACATTTAGCTTCCAATCCAAGTACTTGGATTGTTTGAATTTTATAGCATATCTCTTACAACAACCTGCAGTAAGTTTCTGAATACCAAGTGAGGAATAGCATTTTGAAGAAAAAAAATTGATTACAGATAGACAGACAGACGGATGGATAACTTACTATCACACAACCTCTTTTGGTCTCTGACCAGAATTGAATGTTGATACCTGGGGTAACTTTTCATTAATTATTTAAGTATCATGACAGATATTTTAGGTATGGATATTTTGTTTTGTCATCTTAGAATTTGTTTTCTCAGTATTCACACACAAAAAAAATTATTTATAGCAAATTCTGATGGAGTGAGTGTCCTTTCTACTGTATTTTATTTTGCCAAGTAAAAAATCTGCAGCAGTCTGATTGAAAAGAAGTTTAATAATTATCATCACATCACATGCTACAAAATGATACCATAATATCAAGTAGATATAATGAATTACGTTGTAGCAAAGTAATTACTGCTGTTCCTGAGGCTTGTTGAAGCTAACTTTGGGGTATATAAACATCTATTGCCTAGAAGAGAGATCAAGTTCCATGTAATCCTCACGTACAAATGATCTAGCATATTACTTACTTAGAATCCAGTCCTTCTTCATGCCTATGTCAAAGCACTTCTTCAGACGACAGCCAGAGCAGAATTTTCTTGTGTGGGTGTCTAGCTTACAATTTCCATCAAAGCTGCAAGCAAAAACCTGAAAAATACCAAATAAAACAATGTCTATATGCACCCTTGTTATTTTCAGCTCAGCCTCAAATACTTGTATATACATGAAGTTGCATCATAAGTTTAGTGACAGATGTTAAGATAAGAATATTTCTGTTTTTATTTGAATTTGAATTGGACACAGCAGTTCAAAAATAGTAATTTTCAATTACAGAGCAAGCTCTTCTAGATATGAAGAAAAAATTACAAGTTTGCAAATTCACTATGCGAGTTGCATCTGCAGTTTTTAAACTTTAATAATCATATCTTAATCTGAATTATATATAAATTCAAAGATAAAGGCACCACATTTGTATAAAATACCTTAATGCTTTCATATACATCCTTAGTTGTTTTGCAAATCAAATTACTGTAGAAGTTCTTTTGTTCAGCATGGGAAGAATTTATGCTATGTATGTGCATGGTCACAAATTTTCTGCGGAAATTTGTTACAGAGTACTTAAAGTTCCTTTCAGACATACAAAGGCAATCCACGAATTTCGTTTAATTTTCTACTCATGGATTGAACAATAATTGCTTGGAATTATGACCTTGTGGAAAAAAAAAGTTAACAGAAATAATACTTCTGCAAATAAATTTTGTAGAGACTTGGGGATGCTGTTGTTCCTTTCAGACATACAAAAGCAATCCAAGAAATCTGTATAATTTCTACTCGCGGATTGAACAGAAATTGTGATTATGCGGATTTAAGGGAAAAAAAAATCATTTACGATTCGATTAATTAATTTTTGTGGAGACTTTAGGATGCTATTGTTTACTCTGATTTTACAATTTAGACACTTATGGCATCTAGAATAACCTGTACCATTCCTACAGTATCGCGATTGACTCTCTGTTTATGTTCAGCATTTACTGTTCACATCAAATATGATCAAAGCAAAGTCTTGGACAGTGCTCCTGATTAAAATCATAAACATGTTTGAAGATTTTTCTGGTAACGCATGTTATTTATTGGTACTTCAAAGGGACAATGCATTAAATATGCAGAGTCTGTATTTGAAATAAATCAATGTCTGCATACACTGATTATACAGTAAAGTAATGTTAGCCTTTTGAAATTCTTTCATACATTCACCTTTTATTATTTTCTTATATGTAAGAAACCTGAAACTATGCTTGCTACTTTTTGCTAAATCTCAAGTGGATTGAAATCCTATTTCACACTCAGGGCTATACTTGGTTTATCTTATTATATATCTTAATTGTTAAGAATACAGAATTTTTAATTCAGATTGAGCATTTGAAGAGAATGAATTTGTTAAATGATTTACTGGAGATACTTTTTCCTGAAAATATTAAGTGATCTTCTTGCATGAAAGAATTTTAACTATTAATTAAATGAAGATAGCAAATTTGCATAATCAGATTTTTTCACATCATTCCTTTTTCTGGTACTTTCCATTACCATCAGATAAACTTTCACATTTTTGACAACATTACAAAGATTAGTCATTATATTAATTAATCCTATCAATGAGATCCCTTCACTTAATTAACTAATGGACCATTAAAGAACAAAAAAAAAAAAAAAAAAAAAAAACCAAAAAATCATACAAACAAAAACAAACACACACAAACAATTTTATAAAAACACAAACAAAACACCACACACACTTCAAGAACAGGTCAGTATTGGCACTCAGCAATAACATGATCATGAAATCAGAGCACAATAAAATCATCATTCTCATAATTAAGGGAGAAGATAAACATTTATAAAGGAAACAGATATTCATAAATTTGTTCATTTATCTCCCTTGGCAAAGGGTCATGGTCCTCCATACTAGAAATAATTTACAAATGTGATAAGTTACCTTTGTTTTTAAGGCATTTCTCCTGAAGAATGCCTTACAGGATTCGCAGGTAATGGCATCAAAGTTGTAGCCCAGGGCCTTATCCCCACAGACTCCACAGACAAGAAGGGTGCCATCTTTAGGTTTAGGTCTCCTTTTCTGTTCTCTCTTAGAGGCAGCATCCCTTCCATAGTACTGTGTCATAAAAAAACAGAATTACAAATAAAAAATAGACAAAGTGCTCCACTCAAAAAAACGAAATGACTGCAAGGTGAGAATACTTAATATACATATATAGATAAACTTAATGAACATCAAATCAAACAAAAAATATGCAAGTACCAGCTAGGGTTCTAAATCATGTCCAAGACAAATAATTGTCCTCCAGGACTATCTAAATCTCCACCTCACTATAAGTCCATATAGAGTGGTAAATTCAAAAAGATCTGGACTTGGATCATTTCATATTAATTAACAAAAATTACCACCAATATAAAGCAATTAAATGATTGAGAGTTGATCAAGATGAAAACTGTACGACTGTATCTTTAACTATGTTTTCTGAAATCGGTTTGAAAATTTAGAAAAACTACAAAAGGAGCAAAGTACATTTCATCAGATCGAGGCAGTATTTCATCAAGGTCATACACACACCTGTCGTTAATGTACCACAGGTAAGTGTGCATCTCTAACTGGGACAAGGATTATGCAATAGCTTATATTAGGCAAACTATCAGGCAATGCAAAATACAGAATTTAAAGAAAAATTGTAAATCAAAACTCACATGTTTAGCTGCATGTGTAATGTTTATATCAGATGAAACAATTGCAATATGTTGTAAATTACTTCAATTATCAATGTGATAATGGATTGATTGATTGATTGTATATTGTTTTACATCCCATTCGAGAATTTTTCACTCATATAGAGACGTCACCATATACCGGTGAAGGGCTTCAAATTTTGACCTTTACTCGGCACTCAGGGCCATTGAGCAGTGAGGGATCTTTATCGTGCCAGTGCCTGCCGTGACACTGGGCCTTGGTTTTTTAAGGTCTCATCCGAAAGACCCGCAACTTTCACTCCAAAGTGCCGAGCGCATGGCGAAGGAACAGTTGCTACCTATTTTTTATCGACTTAGGTCTGTCGCGGCCGAGATTCGAACTCCCAACCTCCCGATCACGTGTGATAATGGAATGTTCTTCAAACATAATTAATACACGTATAGAAAACAAAATAAAATAAATGAATTAACTGATGGCTTATTAAATTTGGTACAGGAATCAAAAGTCTCTGATGAGACTGTAGCTCCACTGTTTTGTACTTATAATAGTGCAAGGGAGTGCCACTTTTTTTCAATTGTTCAATGGCATGCTATCTTCTGAGTAAAAAATGCAACTTTACAAGCCACTATAAGTTAAGTATACATCTTTTTCATATTTATCTCTTGTATAGGTTATGGAGTTAACAGTTCATTTGACCCTCAAAATGTACATACAAGCTATATATAAGCATTACCTTTTCTTCACAAAAGGATTGTGGTATTTCAATATAATTTTATGATTATTTTTTCTATCAAAAATAAAGGCCAAAGTGCTCAGAGAAATTCAAAACTGATATATCAATTATCATTTTATTGCAGGGTTGAAAATTAATTTAAAGACATTGATCTAATATTATCATTTGCCTTGAACTTCTGGGGGTGATTTATTGTGAAGTGGAATCTACATCAGTAGCATTTGACACACTCTTATATCTTTACATCAACCTTTAATTTCAGTTTGGTGTACTATTAATTTTCTGCTGTACAATTAATTGTTTTAAATCATAATACTATTTGAACTGCGTGGGTACAAGACAGGTCAGCTTTACACCAAATAGTCAGCCATTATCTACCTAAGTTCACAAAGGTTAGGTACTATCAGTACTGTATATATAGACTGATTACATGGCCAGGACATATAAGACAAAATGATGTAATAATGAAAGGCAAGAACCGGACTTTTCAGTAGGTGAAAATCATGTAGAGTAAGTCTTCAAATAAGTATCAAGTGACCATGGTAATAGGAAGTAAACATTGGAAACCTGATCCTTATATAAGTACATAAACATATAGATACACAACCAAGATCTAAAGGATGCAAGTCTCACTGATATAGGATATCTTCTCATGGAGCATATGACAAGAAATCAGGAATATCTAATATCAATTATTTTAATGAAGGAGCACATGAGTACATGTGTGGAAATTATTAATGACTTTAAAACTCTCAGATTTTTATTCATGAATAATAAGATTCAATAGTGTATGCGCATTCTTTTTGATTCATGGTGTGCATTTATTTTATTTATCCCTTACTAATAGTGATTTGCACATGTTTATCAAAATGCTTTGCATTATTATCTATATAGAAATGTTTTTAATAAGAAGTTATAAACAACTTTACAATGGGCAAATGCAGGGTTTTATTGAATAAGTAAATTAATCTTAATGTTCACTAAAGAAGTGGTCAGTTTCAACAATATACTGCTATCCACTGGGTATATGCACGAGCAAATGTTAAACTCAAAGGTTAAAACATATCAACAGTCTCTTGTCCAAATATTGATATTGCTCATAAAATACCAGTTATAGGTGACTGACTCCTGATCAATCTGGGCCGTGAAATGAAAATGTTGATATGAATTGGTGACATTTGTTTAGCTTGGATTATGTTTTGTTAAATTTAAATGGAAGTTAATATATAGGTACACTGTGTACTTATATATGTCTTTTTTTTTCATTAGGATTGCCAAGATTAAAATAAATTCAAATCTCTCATATCATTAATCATCAAAAGGTAATCTGCCTTGGAAAAAAAAAATATGGCCTGCGTGAATTTAAAAAAAAAAAAAAATTAAGCTTACAAAATGACCTGGTCAATATTTTATTGATAATTTTTAGTAATTAGAATCCCTAGTATATTGACCAGGTAAATATATCATTTAACTATTGCTTTGTAACTATGAACCCATCCAAATTAACATAGAAACATTAATTAGACAATATATCAAAACTTTATATGCAAGGAGAAAAAACAACAATATGGCCTCGGGTTTTGCTGCCATCAGACCATCATCACCCACATGCACATGCACTTATATTATGACAACCTGATAAACCATCAACAACTCACTTATAGAACACCACTGGCTGCAGGTTACCCTAGTTTTCTTGTTAACGAGTAACTAATTAAAACACACCAAGATAACCTTTTAAACATCTCTCTGATAAAGTGTCATTCTCATTTGGTTCACCGAAACTGCACCTATTAATCAATGCTTTCAGATCTGAGGGGTAACTAGATAACATTTATAGGGGTTGCTACTTGAATGACCAATATACGCTCATTAAAGAAGTAGGTGAGAATACTGGTTACATTCATGCTTGTCTGTCTGTTTGCAAAATTACTGTGCTTCCGGGTCAAGGCCAATTAAGGCAGATGTATGCTGATCCAAGGTACTTTTTTTTTCTTTTATTTCTGAACATTTGTATATCTTTAATGGCCTGGATACTGAAAAATTATACTAGAACAAAATGATCTCTCAAAGTTTTCATTTTTTAAAAAAATTATATGCAGAACAGTTTGTAGAATATAAAGACTTTAACAGAGAAAACACTTAAGGAATCCCTAATATCAAAGATTTTCTTCCAAAGTAGATTAAGAGAGAGTCCTCCAGAAGATTTAAGGCTTACATGTGTTGGGATTCACAGAGTAGTAGTTTGGGCTATATGGATTGAGGCCCGGGTAGCTCAGTGGTTAGAGCATCTGACTAGTGATTCAGGGGGCCTGGGTTTGAATCCTGATCTGATCTATCGCATTTCTTCACCTCTTCAGTTACATTGGTGCTGTGCCATGCCCTGGAAGTGACAGGTGAGAGACCTTATAGGGAAGAGCCTGGGTTGATCTTTTGGGGCAAGGACCTTTAAGGAAGGACGAAAGCTGCGGTCAGGTGGGTGCGATCACTGGTGGCCAAATAACTAAATTGGTAGAGCACCTGACTAGAAATTCAGGTACTAAGGATTTGAATCCTTGTCTGGTCTCCTTTCCTGTACAATAGGAACAGCTGTACTAGCTAAATATAATTATATAAAAGAGTTTTTACTTTTTACTATCAATTATCTTTTATTGGAATTTCTATCAATAGTTTTGTTACTCATCAAGCTTAATTTTTCTCATCACCTAGTTGTCACTATCTCATACCCTGCCCCCCTCCCTGTGTCTTTTTACATCTATGGAGATCATAAATTTCTAAAATTCAAGAATTGGGCTATCCTGGACAAACTATGGACCCAAAAGTGGTCCCTGAAAATATACCCCTCCCCCAACTTAAATTTCTGGAAGTCGCCATGCTTTAAGCTTGGTAAAACTAGAAGTACTGTGAGCAAGTTCACTAAATAATATTCCAGCTGCAATTTTTTTGTAAAGTGCCCATTCAAATTTTGTAAATGTGACCTTGAACTTGCCAAAAAGACCTTGGTTAAAGAAATAATACATTCTCTGGTCATAAGTAATCTTTTAGAGATGACAAAACCTAAAGTCAAACATTTTTGTACAAGTATGAGCTACCAATGATTCTTCATTGCAAGTTAAAGCCCTGACAAGCTCTGACAGTGACCTTGAACTTGTCAGAATGGCCTTGGGTCAAATTCGTTACATAATCTCAGGTCATAAACAATTGTTTGCCACATATGGGCTTCCAATGATTCCCAATTACAAAGTTATAGCCTAAAAAAGAATTTTTTAGATTTTATATGTGACCTTGAACCTGCTGGAATGACCTTGTGTCAAGGTGATGACACACTCTCTCATGATAGACAATCTCTGAACCAAGTATGAGCTTCCAATGTTTCTCCATTACAAAGTTATAGTCCAGACAAGAATTTTATACCTTTTCTGAGAGTGATCTTGAACTCGCCAGAATGACCTTGTGTCAAGGTCATGACAAAATCTCAAGCAATATTTGTACCAAGAATGAGCTTCTAATGATTCTCCACTACAAAGTTATATCTTGGTTAAGAATTTTATACTTTTTCTGCCAGTAACCTTTAACTTGTCTTAATAACCTTGTGTCGAGATGCACCCTTTAGGTCATTAGCAATCTCTATACAAAGTATGAGCTTCCAATGTGTCTCCACTACAAAGTTATAGACAAGATAAGATTGCATGAACAGACAGACACGGTGATTCCTAATTACCCCCCAAACTTGGTTTGTGGCAGGGAATAAATATAAGTCCTGAATCAGAGAGTCTAAATCTGACTGCACATATAAAATTGATCTTTTCAGGTGAATTATCATAAATACATATATCTATTATAATTTGACAGAAATCTTAGATAATTTTAATAAGTCCAGATATCCTTCAGACACAAAATGCATATATGTGTAAGATAAAGTACAACGTACAGGGATGAACAGTATTTTACAATCTTTCACCTGTTGTAACAAAGATACCATAAGATAGTGAATTCACTTAACACAGATATACATGTAGCCTACAGTTATTGTGACTGGATATAGAGATGTGCTTATGGTTCACATACTCAGTAATGGGAACAAAATATTTTTCTGCCTTATTAACATAATATATATATATATATTGACAATTTTTCGGCATTTACTGTCATCCTGACCCAATTTAAAATGTTATGGTTGACACACAACCTCAATTTTTGTTGTTTCAAACTAGCTTTAGGCATTTTCGTGATTTTAAATTTAAATATGCAAATTGAATAAAGACACATGGATCAAAATGATATCAACGATGGGATCTAAACTGAACAGCATGTTGATTTCTCAAAATACACAAAAACATGTGTGTGTGTTTTGTATGGAATTCTTACATAGTTGAGCTTTCATCCATTAATATACACAGGGTATTGTTTTTATACATGCACACACATCTGTATGTATTTGTGCATGTTAAATATGCATCCATGTTTACATCACTACATACACTCATATCCCGACTGTACAAAACTTGTTTAATTGCGCTATACTGTAGATGAAGCACTTGACTCAAATAAAACTGATGCAGCATTCACTATAACTGGGTCATTAATGCCATAATACTGAGCATAGTATTCTTCATTTTAAAAAAAGATCATGCACTGTAGACTTATATATATTGTCTTTATTTTGCAATTGGTTACCCTGACTCACAGAGAGTGTGTAAAATACATGTCTTTGTGTATAGGAAACCGCACCACATTAAAAATCAGATCAATTTGTTTGTATCGCTCACATTTCCACATTAACTTTTTATTCTATGAGCTGTCATCTATCCAAAATACAAAAGGCATGCTGTTATATCAAATTTTCTTTGATATATTACTGTACAATATTATTGTGGTTTCAACATCTCACATAATTAGTTAATTAAAGTCCAGCTCTTCATGTATATCTTTTAAATTCATGAAAAATTAACATGTAAATTTGAAACAATAGGAAAAGGTGGCTCATTTTTGTTTTGATGACCTCCAAAATTTTTTCTAAAAAAAAATATATGTTGATTAATTGATAAACATGTAATGTTTTTTGAACTTACTTAACTTGGAGTGTGGATATCAGGCTTTAAAATCTTAAAGGCATATTAGTTCACATTGTTATCAATATTTCATAGTAAAATAGGTAGTATTATTTGGGACATCTAAATAATAACTTAACCATGATCACAAAAATTGACATATAAGCCTGGGCTATCTCAAAAAAATTTGTGGACTGAGGTGATAAAATGAATACTATGATGGCTATGTTAAATTTCCAAAACTTATATAAGCCAAACACAAAACAACAAAGTGTTAGAAGTGATGAAAACTTTAGCTTGAAAACAACACTAATAATTTTCTAATTATCATTAAATACAGAAAACATCAAAAGATCAACAAGCACTGTCACTGTTGAGTTTTAGTGTTCAATGTCACTACTTCTCAATGTCTGTTCCCTCTTCATGACAACTGATTTTAAGACACAATATTATAAATGGATCTACTATACAAAATATAAAAGATCCTCACTTGACTTTGGCAGCTTAATCCACTCGTGGGAGTTCAATTTCTACTTCACTTTTCAATGCGACTGACAATTTGCATGGACACCTAGACCACGAATCAACAAACATGTGAATCTCCTCTCCATGAAGTTGTATTTTCAGGTTGTGTCACATGGTCATACCACAAAAACATTCAAAGTTAAACTGTATTTCTTACAGTTTATTTTGAGCAGAAAAGATGATGTTACTTAAATGGGTGAAACTTCATTGAAGTACCTTTAGCAGCTAGTTTTAATTTTATGAAGCAAGTCCACAATTTTTTTTAAAACCCTCATACAGGCACTTTTAATTATTTTGTGTAAAATACTAATTGAGTTATAATATTAATGACCAACAGCTCCTAGAGATGTGACTTCTATTTGTTTGCTTTTTTTGGTAGATAAGCAATGTCTGTTCATATTTCCTTAACAGCATAAACATGTTTTAAATAAATCAATAATTACAAACCACCACATATTTTTTTTGCTCTCTTGAAAAGCCTGTTCTCTCTAAATTATCATTTCAAAGAGATTTTTGATGGAGACACTGACAATGTGTCATTTGACTCTCACAACAATTATTGCTAGATTAATAACAGAATACCAGTCAATAAATATATAGCTTTGAAATGATGAAAGGTGAATTAAGCCAACAGGTTTATAACTGAATGAATTTTCTCATTATGAGGGGAAAAAACACTGCCAATTTTTTTCAAAGACACAAACCCAGCTGAAATTGATTTAGTAATACAAAATTTTATAAAGACCCCCCCCCCCCCAAAAAAAAAACAATAAGGACAGCTATACAGCACTTCTGGAAGTATTAACAACTATAGTTATATAATTCACTTCCAAACTGACCCATTTTAATATGTCAATGTGCCTTAGTCAATGCACAAACACCAGATAATGAAAAATCAATACTCTATGTAAAAATATGTCTTGGTGTTTGAGGTTTTTTTTATTAACCAGTTTGAAGTGTTTATGAACAATGTTAATATTGAGTACAGTTGCACATATTGTTCACATTGTTTACAACTCAACTTGCATGGGCCTGCATGTACACTTAGTTATCAATGATGAGTACTAAAAAAACAGGGGTTATAGGTGAAAGTATAATGAGAGGAGGTATGGTGATGACCTTGTTTAATAATGGGTAGAAATTTGGATCTAGGCAAAGCATTTACAAGTACGCATTACTTCAAGTCAACATCAAGATAACTACAATTCAGATAGAGGATGTCCAATCTATTTACGATTCTTTTTATATTTATATGATGTTTTTCCTCCAATGAAAATTTTCTTTCAAAATACATGTACACAGATGTAACTGACACTAATCTTTGTTTAATCCTTAATGGAAAAAATATATTAAATACCAGCTTAAAAGAAAAACAAATAAACCTAAATATTCTCTAAGCATTTAAAAAATTATACAATTTTGTTCTCTTTTTTTATGTTTTTATTTAAATATTTTCAAAGGGTGTTTTAGAAACTGAAAGTATAAATATCTTCAAAAATATTCCATAATCAAATAAATTTAAGAGGTAGAAATAACAAATGATTAAACAGATTTTTGTTGATTTACTGTTTACCAATCTTCATTTATTTGTATTCAGTATTTCTATAGGGCATTCTGGAAATTGAAGCTACACATGTCTTCTAAAATATTCCATAATCAAATCCATTTCAGAAGTAAAAAATAACAAATGATTAAACAAGGTCTATTTATTTACTGTTTACCTAATTTATACACTTAAGATTTTTGCAAAGAACTGGGGGGCAATTAAAGATTACGGATTCTCCTCCTAAACTATCAATTTTAATCCTTTATCAGTACAAGACAGAAACACCATATTTTATAATACTAGCTTAATATCTCCAATCCACTAAAAAGAAAAAAAAAACCCATATGATATTCGCTAGCTCATGGCAATTAATCCACTAAAAATGATGGGGACACAATGGTGGAATTGTTATGTAATAGGAGAATATTATCTTGATCTATAAATCTTCCTTAGTGACCTATTTAGGACAATTTTGACCTGATATTACCCACCTCAGATGAATCACAGTCCATGTAGGTATCTCCCGTAGTGGAGACTTGCATGGGTTCACTAGTGTCCATACTTTCTCTTTGCTGCTGCTGTTGTGCGGGGTGTTGATGGGGAGGAGATATCAGGGGGGTATTACTGACCACGGGTGGAAAACCCCCCTGATGAACTGTACTCACTGGATGGGGATTATATAGCCAATCTTGGAAATCGTCGTAAATAATGCTATTCATGATTCCTTCTTTACTAAAAATGAAACTATACTAATGGCATCACATAAATCGAAATCAAAGGTTTACGTCCCTTGAGTGAAGAAGATTTTGTTTCTTATCCTTGAGCTGGTAAATATTTCCCAGACAAAGCACTTTCAATTGAATTACACAAACAACAACACTGAAATGATTAGATCATTGAACAACACTACATATGCTACTGGCACACTCTTTTTTTCCTACAAAACACTGGCACAGTTACTGCATTCCTTGGATCTATGATCCAACGTGTGTCATAAACACTTAGTGTCAAATATGAGGTGGGAAGATCTAAAACCTTATATTAATATCTATCCTTCTTCAAGCCATTTACATCAATTCTCCTGAGTTTCAAGTAAATTATGCACACTCCATATCAGGTAGAGAATATTTATCTATTGTTGAAACAGCCAGGCAGATGACCTCATGTCCAATACCAGTGAAACTATTGACCCCTGGGTATGTTTACAGTAATTTCTACACGCCACAATCAGACTCCAGTGTGTGAAGGTAACATTCAGAATTGTACAACACTACGTCAGTGGTATGTAATATTCCACGGAAAACTCTTGATATGTAATATCCTGTCTTGCTGGGTAAAACTAAGTCAGTTCACTGCGCTGTACTGGTATTATGGTGTCAGATGTTCAAATTTCAACTCAAGTCTGGTTATCTCTGCCCCGCTTATAGAGACCCACTATCTATATGTAATCCCAGCACAAGGTCATCTGAGGCGAACGGGAAACACCACTGTCTCTATCACCCAACCAGCACAGCAATTAAAAAAGCCATCAATATTTTGGTGATTATTTAAATCCACAAATATGCCTCGACAACCACCAGTGTTTATGCCACTCAAATGACTTTTTAAATGCCGATCAACCGCTCATAAATGTAAGAGTTCAGAGAATGAAAATCTACAGAAAAACAGCACACACTTCCAAATTTTTCTAATAAGAAAACAAAAGACGTCTGTACAGCTTAGTCCCTGCTCGATTTCAATCAAAAAACAGAACAGTATGTTAAATTAGTCCAGGCTTTAACAGTTCACTGAGCACACACAGTAAAGTCAGGTAAGGAGATATGGGAGTATGTATAAAATCACGGTTAGGAAACAAATAAGTTTCCAACTGGTGAACCTTTACGAACACGTGTTCTTCACGTCATCAGAAAGCAATTTTAAAACATTCCATAACCCTGCTCTTTTCATATTACAGTGACATAATTTCCAGCTCCATAGGCCAACTGTACATGAATGGAAAGTCGATAGACAATAGAAAATTGATTTTTTTCTACCAATTCTTTAAAAAAGCACCCTACTTCGTATTGTCTCCCAGGAAATTTGTTTAATTCAGCAATGTAATTTCACATAACCAAATGTATTTTTAACTTTAAAAAGACAGATTTCCATAACTTGTAATTTTTTTTTAAAATAATATGTCATAACCATGCTTTTAACTCGAGAAGTAGATGAGACTCTTGTCATCCAGAGAGAAATTTATAGGGTCACTCCATCACAGCTTGTCTTCGTAAACTGCTCATTGTAAATTTCATGGTTACATTCTCATTAATAAAACCCTAATTTATAGTAAATTAACAACACTTTATGCATGCTCAAATGCTTTTATTTTTAATGAATATATTTATTCCATTTGACATTTCACTTCGTTAGAGAGAGAAAAAAAAACCTTCCATTAATGTTATTATAATTTATTCTATGCACAGTTCTAGGTCTCTTTTCATAATTTTACTTTAACTGCAATACATGTCATTTTTTTCAATACCCAACTGAAATAATATTTTCTTTGTGCCATTATGGACAGACAAGACCATTCACAAGTATCATTTTCTCCCCATCCTTGATATGCAAGTATATAAATTCATTTAATATGTTTTACAGAATGACCGTTGTATACTGCCATCAAAAACTTTTACATAGCTTACACTTTTAACTCTGACCTGCCTCTTCAAACTTCAAACTACATGAGAAACAGTCTTCATTCTGTAGTCAAATAACGTCATATGTTTGTTGCACCTCTGTAACAGAGTCTAAATAGTGTAGGCTAATATTTTACAAGGTTTTTCTTAAGTATATGAAATTATTTTCTATTACTTTTAAGCTCTCTGCAAGAAATAACTATGCGCTTCTTATATTCGCCATTATTGTATGGAATTGCACGTATTATTAAAAAAAATTTGGGAAGGTTTCACGCAAAATTTTGTGTGATGAACGTACAAATTTCAGTTAAAATTCTCTGATCTTACACATTTAATAGACTACTGAATTTACTTCACAAAGCTCGCTCCTAGCTCGATATTTGATGAAACTACATGCATGTACATGTACTTCAAGTTTTCTAAAAATGTACATATTTACAATATGATATATATTTCTTGTTCATGCCCTGCACTTACGTATTTAATATAACTATTGATCAATTAATGTATGTTATTTTTCTTCATATAGTAATTTAACTTTAATGGAAATTCACACAAGAGACATGATTGCCAGAGTTGTTGCCCTTGACCATTTCCTTTAAGTTACTAAAATCAAATGTAATGCACAAATCTTACATTTTTAATTTAATTTAATATTCATGTTGCCAATCAAGGTATGAACAGGGAAAAACAGAATATATTTAAATTGAAATAAATGTCATTCTTTTCACATATTATTCTAATAACATCATAAAATTGTATTTCTGTAAGTAAGGTTATAGCATATTTACCATGATATTAATATATTACAATATTCATTGTCAGTACATAGAAACACAACTGAAATAAAATTCACCAAGAATATATACATTATATAACATTTTTGAAGAAATTTTCCCATTATATCACAAATATGATATTTTTATCCATATGCCCTGAAAAACTGCTGAATCACGCCGGATATAGTTATATTACACCGGAAACAGTTATATTGCCCTCCCGAACACCGTTATATTCCCTCGCGTGCAGTCATTCTGCATATTGATTGAGTCGGGTTCGAAATTCACAGAGGCAGTATGTCTGCGTTTTTTTTATGTTCATTTAAATTCAGAGGAACTAGATAGTTTGATTGGGGAGAAAATTCCGTAAATACAACAAAAATTATAAACACAAATGTCAGCGTGCTGAAAACAATCTGCAATGAAACAAGACGGAATATTTCGGAATTATTTATAAAGGAAGAGAAATCGGCCTTCATACCCCCGTTATCATTTTAACAACAATAGTGTTAATATTCCTTAGCATTATTATCGAAACTATTAGAATCCACCAATCAGCTATGATGATTTGCATGTTTTTTTCTAGATATTTACACAGGTCCATACATGTATATAGTCGTCAATAAATATGTCCGATTTTGGTTTTTTAAAAATGTTATATACCATATATTACATGACTTCTCGGGCAACAATACCAGAATATTTGCCCCTCGGTAACAGGAAAGCCCTGGAGTGTTATGTCGCCCTCTGCCTCTGCCATGTAATATATGTGTAATATGAAATATGTAAATAAAAATAAAAAACAACAAAAAACAAAAGATGAATTAACCCACTTGCAACTAGCAAAGAGGTTATAAACATATGAAAAGAGAAAGAGTAAGATGTTGATAATTCTATAAAAAGGTTAATAACATTGAAAAACAAAACCCACATTGGTACTTGCTGAGATCAGGTGTTGACCTATAAAGTTCTATGTAATTTTATTGACCTGATATTCAAAGAATTTTTTTTTTGATCTCTATTTAGAGGCATATCATGCATGGCAAGTTGGAATCTTCAGGATAAAGGCATTACAATTTTAGATTAAATGCACCTGCACACACTAGAAAAATCTGATAAAGTGAAAAAAGATGTTAATTCATTACTTTATCAAAAAGAATCTCTTGGCTTCTGCAACAAATTGTATCACACCAGATGAATATTTTTCTCCACTGAAATTGATCAATGTGTTCTAAAACTACGAAACAAAAAAAAGAGAAAAAAAAATTTGGAACAAAAAAAAAGACTGTTCATCATTTCTTAATTCTATCACAGCTTGTACATATAAAATCATTATAAAGGAACTCAAATGTTGCTGCATTGACAGGTACAAAATCCAAATATTTTGAAAACCAAACCGTTAATTTTACTAATTATGCAACCCTATTATTTGTCTGTCTATAAGTACACTAACAAATTCTATTGCAAACAAGTTGGTATATGTCTTGAGGAATGAAATACCCAGAGAGAAAGTTCAGGAGCTTAAACAAGAGAAATAATGAACAATTTCTCTATAGCAGTAAAAAATTCCTATCTTATTGAAAGATGTTGGGTGTGTACTTTCAGGATTCTGAACATACATATTCATGAGATATGTAAAATTACTGAATAAGCTTTTGTAATTTGTCCTTTTTTTTATGCAAATTATAAATTTCTTCACACTTGACAAGCATTCAAATAGTCATAATCAAGCAGAATTTGTGAATTATATTTGCATATACATTTTTATCTCATGAGGCCATGTACCTTTATACTGGAATAAATTAAAATTAATATAAACTGTAGTGACTTGTAGTACATGCAAATCACAACAGAAGTAAAGATGTGTGCATATCTGGTGCAATTCCTATCAGATATAAATGTTATTAAAAATAACCTGTGCCTATCCTGTTTTGCATGACACCAAAAAAAAAAAAAAACCACTTGAACACCATCTGATGAAAGTATAGACTAGACCGGATCACCATTCCACATATTTTTAGCTGATCCCTCGGTTCACTACAACTGTGACTTCGTATCATATTTCAGTATTATATCTATATCACACAGATTGAAATTACCTCCGCAGGGAAGCACAGAGCATTATGTATTGTCATAAGTATAGAAATGGCACTGACCTATTGACTGTGTGGATATAAGGTACAAATTAGAGACTTGGATTTTCTCTCTGATATTATTTTACAAAATTAATCAATCTTAGATATATCTGATTATTTCAAAAATATTGTATACCTATATAATTATCAGCTTATTAACTTTCCCATACATTCAACTCATTTCATCTTTAAAAAAATTATCAAAACTTCTCTTTATGTATAATGCTAACACACTGCTGGAGACAGAACTATTCACTGATCTTTAACAAGTGATCACAAAGGCACTTAATATACTCATGGTGGCCAGTTCACCAAGGACAAACTGGTCATAAAGAACAAAGACTATAGATAGAATAAGAAGACATAGGCATTCTTTATTTCAAAATGCATGCAGAATTAAAATTAAAAATCATTAATACTTCATGTTTGGGTGGATACAAAGTCATTGCTAATTGATATAAACACGAAGTCTGTGAGCCAATGCTCACTAAAAATTCTGATGGGAATACACAAGTTCAGTTATGGACAAACACTGGGATAAACAGGAAGTTGACATCAGATTCATATGGCATGACTAAACAAAGAGTGTGCTAAAATTTCAAGCATCTGCAATGAGTAGTTGCTGAGAAAACTGTGATCAAAATTTGTTATGTATGGTACAGACAGACGCACAGATAAAAAGAAAGTTGACATTGGATTCGTACAAAAATGAATCCCACCATATGGTATGCCTAAACCAAGAGTGTGTTAAAATTTAAAGCACCTGCAATGAATAGTTGCTGAGAACACTGCAACCAAAATTTGTTACATATGGTAGGGACAGACGCATGGATAAACAGGAAGTTGACATGGGATTCGTACAAAAATGGATCCCTCAATATGGCATGCCTAAACGAAGACTGTGTTAAACTTCTAAGCATTTGTGATCTGTAGTTGCTGAGAAAATTGCGACCTAAATTCGTTATGTATGGTTTGGACAGACACACAGATAAACAGGACATTGGATTCATACAAAAATGAATCCCATTATATAGCATACCTAAACAAAGAGTACTTGTGTTAAAATTTCAAGCATTTGCAATGAGTAGTTGCTGAGAAAACTGTGACCAAATTTTGTCACAGACAGACAGAGAGAAACACAAGGGTAAAACATTATATCCCCGTCTCCTTCGGAGTGGGGGTATATATTCTAAAAGTTGGGAAAACCCAACCCCTGCACAAAAAAACTTCATGTACCCGCAATGACTTTTACAAGGTTCAAACCACTGATAAGCACATTTAATTTCATAT